CCAATGAATCACCCTCTGTATATCATAAAATTGTTTCCATTTTTGCATTCAATCTTCACAATCTGATACGTCCCCACGACACTCGAGTAAATCCCTATTTAGCCTCTTTGCCTCCCCTACTATTATATTGTCAACTCAATGGCCGCTAGTGTTTGCGGACGAAAAGTAAAAGTGTTTGATGCGGACGAAAAATACTTGCCTTCAAAAATAGTTGATTTTCCATGCGGAAATGAGTACATGAAATGCAATTTCTTGTAAAGGTCGACGAGGAATTAAATTTATGTTATTTCACAAAAAAAATACTCGTTTTGCAGGTATGGCTTGATGTGGATGTACCGAATGATGTGGATCAAATAAGGTAACTTTTTTTCTCTCAAAATACAATACCAATATTCAACCATGTTATCGTTTGACTGATTTGTTCAAATAACCATTTATACTTGAAAAAAACAGTTGACAGTCGATGCACGTTACAGTTTAAATTTGAAAAAATAATGATCGGAGCCGAGTCATAGTATCTGAAGAAGCATTTCATTTGCTTTTTCATACACTCAGTTCCAAAAAGAGTGACGCACTTTTTTGCTGATACCTCACGCTTATCCCACAAATTAAATTTATTGAAGGATCAGAGTACTCAAAATTGATTGGATTGTACTCTGGTAGGATCATATTGTCTTCAAAAAAACAAATGCCGTTGCCATAGCAACTAATTTGTTGTATGCCTCCATATTTGATCATTTGTCGTTGTGTCATTAATTAAGTGTCTTGTTTTATTGACTAAAATTACATAAAATGCCTCAGATAAATCCTGAACAAGTAGCAAGATTAGTTGCGTTAGTAAACGATGGGCGTAGTAAACGTTACTCCGCTCGTGCAGTGGGAGTTCATGAAGCAACTGCTCGTAGAGCAATCCGCAAGTACGAACAAACAGGAATCACCGCTCGGAGGGTCGGTTCTGGTCGCCCCCGAAAAACTTCTCCAAGAGATGATCGCTTCTTGAGATTGCGGATTTTACGGAATCGATCAAATACTGCGGGAAATGTTCAGCAAGATCTTCGCCAAATTCGTGATGTTGCAGTAAGTAAGCAGACGGTATGTAGACGTCTGAAATAAGTTAATTCAAAAGCTAGGAGACCTGCCAAAGGTCCCAAATTATTGCCCGAACATCGTGCTGCTAGAAGAAATTTTGTTGAAAATTATGGACAGTGGAATATTCCTGAATGCTCGAATGTCTTGTTTACGGATGAGTCAAGGTTTTGCTTTAACATGGTGGATAGAAGAAAAAGAGTGTGGAGAAGAACTGGTGAACGGTTTAATCAAAATTTAATAACAGAATGCGAAAGTTTTAACGGTGGGTCCGTTATGGTGTGGGGAGGGATTTCAATGAATGGAAAGACACCCCTTCATGTTTTTCCGGTGAGGCAGTCGATGAATGCCCAAATTTACATTGACATTTTAGAGCAGTATGTCTTACCTTTTGCAGAGTTAGTGGGCAATAATTTTATATTGATGCAGAATGATGCCCGAACACACATCGCAACAATAATGCGAATCGTCTTAGAAGCTACTGGTATTACCACATTACAATGGCCTGCGGGAAGCCCCGATATGAATCCTATAGAACATTTGTAGGATGAATTAGGGAGAAGGGTACGTACTTGCGAGAGGTCTCCGGAAAGTCTCGCAGAAATGGCAGATGCATTAGTGGAAGAATGGGATCGTATACCAGTGGAAACGATAAGCAACTTAATTTCCAGTATGCCTCGTAGATTAGAAGTTCTTAGAGTTGCTAGAGGAGGCAATACACGGTATTAAGCAGTCATCCCAATTTATAATTTTGTGTTTAATAAAAATTGTTTCTCGATAAATTCAGAAAGTTGGTAATCTGCAAGGATTCAGCAAAAAAAGCTGTAATTCGGAAAATTTCAGAGATAAATCAATGAATAAAAAAACAAAATGCTCGCAAAAGAAGCCTCTTTCGTATAGGGTGCAAGCACTTTCTATGCCATCACTCAATTAACACACAGGGTGAGTCAAAAATTAAGAATAAATCATGGTTCGAGTTATTCCACCACCATCAAGGAGGCTTTGAAAAAATGTTCACCTCTTTATTTATTTCAAAGACAAATGCATTACCTACCAACAAATAAAAAAAAAACGGCCTATTTTTTTTTTTTTCAAGAAGATAGGTCAAATATCAAGTGCGTCACTTTTTTTGGAACTGAGTGTATTTAAGAATTGGATAATCACTCAATTACTTAATAGCGGCCTGGATGTTGTTATTGGCTATCTACCGAATTCAACTGACAGAACCTACTGAATCTGCTGATCTTTCATTCCGAAATCAAAAAAATTCACTGTTGAAAGTTACAGATACTCGCGAGCAGACTACTATTCATTCCAAATACACTAACCGCCAAAAAAAACGGACACCAAGAAATTTGCACAAATTGCTAACCATGTTACTTTTTAAATCCTGCTTGTCCGATTTTTGTGACAGACTTATGTTCCGGGATGTTAGCCTAAATATTAGTTTCCGTTGAGAGCTGATGACTTGATCATTATACAGGGAAAAATGAAAGTTACATCTTCACCCATTATTTCTCAACGCCCTGTGGCGAATTTGAGTGGTTGAACTTGGCTTCATTATGGTTTGGACTGAAGTGTGATTCCTCTTCAACACAATTGTTTCAGATTCACGTCAATATCTTATTTTTAAGAGAAGATACGAGTGTTTTGAGAAAGTATGGCATTTTGCAATTTAGTATTAACAATAATCAGAACCTACATAACCAATTGGTCAAACTCTTGAAGAATCAATATAACTGATTGCTATATCTCATTTTCACAGCAATTACCGAAAACACTTCAATTACAAAAATCAAATAAAAAGCAGACCTGTAGTCAATAGCGAGTATGCCCTCCTCCAGTTTGAATTCCAGCATTCAACCGCCGTGGCATAGAATTGATCAAATTTCTCAAGTGGTCTTGAAGAATGGGCTCATATCACAAAAAAAAATGTATTTCATAATTCGATAGAACTCACCCAAACTAGCTCACCAACGCAAACCGTTTCTTGCTGTGAGCTCCCTACATTTTATAAAAAATTATTGAAATCCCGATTTTTCGGACCTCTGAAAACGAGGTGATGATGTGACGTCAAAACCATAATACTGAAACAAGACTATTCCAGACAGAGATGAATGATACATGATTTCTGACAGAGTGAATTAGCGCGAGATCACAGTTGAAAGAATTAATATATGAGTTGTCTCAGTCTCCGTCGGGCGTTTGGTATTTTCTTTTAACTATGGCGAGATGAGGTTTCTACGTCATAAGAGGGTCCGTTTTCAGAAGGGACTATTATTTATGTCCAAAAATAAAACATTCCAGTTGATTTTTCGATCGAATTATGTCGTCAATCATTATTTATGTATAAAAGAATCATTATAAACATGGTTTGAGTTGAGTTAAAAGTTCTACTAAGGTGTACACGCCCATTGCCTGAAATTCTCCGTAAAGGGAGAATCGTGTACCTCTTAAAGAGTCTCTGACTAGGCCGGACTAAGGCGAATGAGCCTCTGGAGTCCAGCCCTGAGATGCTGTATAGGTTCTGATTTATTGTTAATAAAAATTTAAATATTCCATACATTTTTGAAACACTTATATCTTCTCTTGAAGATATGGAACAAAAACGGATCACACTTCAATACAAAACATGATGAATCAGAAGGTTGGAGAACGGTTCTGAATTATTGTTATAGTTTCTCAAAACACTTGTATCTTTCTCTTAAAAAGTGGTTATCGACGTGAATCGAAAACCAATGTGTTGAGAAGGAATCACACTTCGATTCAGAACATAATGAAGCTAAGTTGAACCACTCACCTTTTCCACAGGGCTTTAGGAAGTTAAGGGTGAGAGAATAATTTTTATTTTTCCCTGTATAATGATCAAGCCATCAGCTTTTCTTAGAAACTAATATTCAGACTAACATTCCGAAACATGATTATACGATTTGGACGAAATTCAACCGAAATCGGATAATGATTCAGAAAGTTACAGGTTTTTTTTATCGCTTGGAGCGCACGAAAGGGAATCCCTATAATGTTCAAAGAACATCGTGCGTTCCTAGGAAGGATAGGGACAGGAGGTAGGTATTGGAATTTTTTTTTGAACTTTTGGAGATTATATGTTGTTGGGAATACTTCCACAGGCAATGAATTCCAGAGCCTAGCCTTTCTATGGATGAAGGAGTCTTGATAAAATGCTGCTCGACATCTTTCGAGGTTGACAACGAAAGGATGTGCTGACTGGGCTTGTCTAGTTCGTCTGATTGGTATTGCTAGTGAAGGGATGATAGCAAAGATTTCCGAAGAACAATTTGGCAAAATTTTTTGGTGACCGGTTTTTTTTGCCGGTTATTAGTGTATATAGTTGATCAGCTGGTGAAATTTAACAGTTGTCAGGTTGTCACGTCTGTAGTTTCTCGTTTACCTGACCAATTATTTAAATAACATTCATTTTCATGATATCAATTTATTATTGATAAGACATCAAGACTTAATGTGTAAAAAAACTGAAATAAATGTGACATTCCTTTCCCCCTCTAAAATAATGACAGTTCGCTGAAGCTACACCTTTTGATAGTCAGCAATTTCAGCAGAATGTTGAGTCGAAATATTTGGAATGAAAAGTATGATGTCTCTCACAAGTGTCTGTCACTTTCAGTAAATTTTTTAGCGCTTATGTGAACTGTCATTATTTTAGAGGGGAAAGGAATGTCACATTTATTTCCGTTGTTTTTTAATGCATTGAACTTGTTTTTCAATTTTGGCAGAACTTTCTAGTTGGATTGAACGAGTATAATTCATGATGCTCAAATAGTGATTTCATTTTATGATAGCTCATGAAAAATTTACGATTTTGATGTACTAATATATTTCGTCTCGTTTAAAATGTTGCCCATTTTGCAGGGAAAACTTGTGTTTTTTTTTTTCAGAATACGAGAAGCTAGAATTCTTGAAGCACCAAGAATTCGAGAAGCTCCACTGTTTCGAGAAGCCCCAGCGATTCGAGAAGCCCCAGCAATTCGAGAAGCCCCAATGAATCGAGAGGCCCCAGTGATTCGAGAAGCCCCAACGATTCGAGAAGTCCCAGCGATTCGAGAAGTCCAAGAGATTCGAGAAATCCCAGCGTTTCGAGAAGCCCCAGCGATTCAGAAAGCCCCAGCGATTCGAAAAGCCAAAGCGATTCGAGAAGATCCAGCTATTCGAGAAGCTCCAGCTATTCGAGAAGCCCCAGCGATTCAGAAAGCCCCAGCGATTCGAAAAGCCAAAGCGATTCGAGAAGATCCAGCTATTCGAGAAGCTCCAGCTATTCGAGAAGCCCCAGCGATTCAGAAAGCCCCAGCAATTCGAAAAGCCAAAGCGATTCGAGAAGATCCAGCTATTCGAGAAGCTCCAGCTATTCGAGAAGCCCCAGCAATAGTTCCAGCTCAGGCTGAAAATCGACTAGTTCATCGGGATATTAAAATGGAGAATGAACAATTGAATAGAGAATTGAATGCACAAGTAGGTAAAATATGTACCCACCTATTGATCATATATATGAATTTACTGCTATTTAGTGGTAACAATACGAATTTCGAGACAAAAATATCTATGAATATCCCTAGATATTTGGTTGAATTGCATAGTTTCACGTCTTGATTTCCAATTTTTATTGATTCAAACTCTGGCAGATATTTTTTATACGATCCGAACGGTAGTATCTTCGTTTTGTCAATGTTCACAGTCAACAAGTTTGCAGAGAACCACTTGGTAATTTTCAGCATATCATTCTGAGCAATATCTCTCACTGAGTTCCACGAATGTGATTCATATAGAATCATTGTATCATCTGCGAAGGAAATGATGTTTCCTTGAGATTCCAGAGATAGTAATCCATTCAAGTAGATTAGAAAGAGAATTGGTCCAAGAACTGTTCCCTGTGGAACACCACAACTGACTGCTTCTTCGGAACTGACAATATCATTCAATCTCACTTTTTGTCTTCTATTTATAAAAAAATTTTCGAATAATTCCAAGACAACACCCCTTATGCCGATGTGTTCTAGTTTATCTAGTAAGACCTTGTGACACACCGTGCCAAAGGCCTTAGCCAGATCCACAAAAATTCCGAGGCATGGTCTTTTTGTCAATAGCTTTATAAACAAACTGAAGTTACTTTTGCTATAGCATCTTGAGTACTATGATTCTCCCGAAATCCAAATTGTTTTTCAGAAAGTTTGTCATGTTCATCCATGTACTTAATAATAAGACGTACTTTCATCAGTTTTTCGAAAATTTTAGAAAATTAAGATGTCGGTTAGATCGGTCTAAAATTTGCCATTTTCGTCCTATCTCCTCCCTTGAAAACAGGCTTTATTTCAGCCTATTTGATTGATTGAATCATATAAAGATTGAATACGAACAGAAACAGAATCTTTGTTTGGTACAACAGATTTCAGAATTTCAGAATTTCAACGGGGACAAAGCCGCAGGGAGCAAAAAGGGGGATGCCGAAAAAAACGATCGATCCGACCCCAAAATCCAAGAAGGCCTCGAAGCTGTTGAAAGAACAGTCTCCCACGAGAATCGCGTACGCGACAAGATCGCAGAAGCGCCTGCAGGACAAAAAAGACCAGAGCTGTCAGCACTCGACCGCAGAGGAGAAATCCAGAAGATTGCAAGAGAAATCCAGGCTGAAAATAAAGCTGCAAGAGACAGAGAGACTGAAAGGACAGCCGCAAGAAACAAAGAGCTTGCAGAAAGGAAAGCGCTCTTTATGAGAGAAAGGGAAAAAAAATGGAGATACTAATAGCTTCCAAGGTTGGTAGAATTGATGATTATTTGTAGAGGGAGGTTGCCTCGATCAGAAAACATGGTGAGGGAAGTGGTAATTCGTGACGTAATCGGATCCAAAATTTCATCTTGGGATCATATGTATATTTTTAGATCACAGCTGGATAGGTGAATCTATTTGAAGGAAGTTGTAGAATATAGATTCTCAAGACTCCGAAATGGATTTTTTTATGGGATTACTTCACGAATTACTACTTCCCATCACCGCGTTTTGCTGATCGAGACAACCTTCCTCCACAAATAATCATCAATTTTACCAACCTTGATAGCTACCTATGTATGTTTTTATACAGGGTCCCGCCGATTTCATAGGGACAGTATTGCTATTTCCGGCAAGAGATGCTGTTCTTATAATATTTCGAAAAGAAAACACTTATTTTGTTTTTATTTATTTACTTGGCTGATATTTGAGGAAGATGTTTGAAATTTTTCGTCAACAGAAATATTCTATCTTCGTTATTTTCAGAGATTCATCATGCAACTTTTGTTTTTCTAATTGGCGCCATATTCATTTTTCATTACATTGAGTAGGGTTCAAAAAAGCTTTACAGCCATGTCTAACATGTCAAAATTATCACATGAAACAGCGCCAAAAAAAAAGTACAGTACATTTTCGAATGTGGTAGGCCATGCATAATGAGATAACAAAAGCAATTAGTCACTATACATTCTTATGCAAAAATGAAAAAAAAGCACAGAAAACCCAAGATTAGCAATTTTTCGTTGAATAATAACCTACAACTAGTATTGAAAGTTTTTATTTAGTGTTAAATAGATTTGGTCTTGACTTGAGATTTAGTTAGGTAATTTATTTTTGTGAGTTAAAATCAACTATTTATCAATGATTATTGATTCGTTCTCAATGTTTTATGGTTTTGTTAATAAATTTACTTATCCTCAAACATAGAATTTGATTTTACTCCAAGGTGAATTATTCTTTGTCATGATTAATTACCTGTTGACACAAAATTTCAAATTTCCTCCTCGAAAATTCACCAAGAAAATAAATAGAAATAAAATCAGTGATTTTCAGTTTTTTCAAAATATTTCAGGAACGGCTGAATTGTTTTCAGTTTGCAGAACGGAATATTGAGAAGGTCTAATAAAGGCAGCTTTTTATATCTTACCGTTTAGGAAATAGTAAAACTGTCCCTATGAAATCATATAAAATGTATTTTACTACTATTTATTTATGCTGATTTTATTTAATGTTTTTTCAATAATTATATTCATATTTTTGATATTGATCTATTTTGTACCTTGTGATTTGTGATTATTCAAATATATATAAAATATTTATAAGTACTAGCTTTCTGGTTTTGTTCATCTTTGTAAGTTAACGTTAGGAAAACTGTGCATCTCGGCGAAAAACTGTCTATCAATTTCTATTAATTTGCAGACTCGACTATAAAAGACAGTGTCTCGTCCTTGGTACAGAAATAACTATTTGTCGCATGTGTCAAACAGTTGTTGTTCCGTCTTCTTTTTTAGTGACCAAAATTATCTATTCGCGGGAATCAATGTTACCAGGTGGCGCTCGGTTTTCATCGTTCCATGTCAAAGCCACGTCAAAACTGGGGGAAAACAAACTCAATCCTCAATCAATCCCATAAGTGCCATTAGCTTGTGTACTGTGTACTGATAAGAGAAATGAGTTTTTACATTTCTTGACATGAATTGTCAATATTCGATCGAAAACGCTAATGTTGTAGATGTTCTTTTGGCAGATATTTTGCTCTATTTAGATGGAAAAAGCCGACCAGTAGTGAAAGGAGAAGTAGTTCTCCGTGCTTAGCAGGTGATTTTGTGTGAGGAAGAAGACTTCAACAAAAGGCACATTTTTGCACTTTGTCTACAAACTTCGGCGATGAAATCTTTCCCACATGAAGTAAAATTGAAGTTGGGGTCCGGAGGCACTCCTGTAGAACAATGGATTTGTATTTGTTCATGCAAAGCAGGACAATCTGGGTATTGTAAACATGTTGTAGCTGTTCTTTTATATGTCAATTGCTTTGCTCGTCATAATTAGTTTGAATTGTTCACTGTTCACTGAACTAATAAAAATGTAATAATGTAAAAAAATTAACCAACTCAACCATCATCATACCAACAGTGCCAACACTTTATGTCATTGACAAGTTTGACTACAGCTACAGCAAGCTGAATGCAATGTAGTCTATGCACTTTATCCATAGACAACACTTTGTTTTCCCCCAGTTTGAAGTTCGTATTATGTAACCTAGATGTCGCCCACTTCGTGAATCTCGCGAATGAAGCTCATTATTTTCTGGAACAGATCTGTTAAAAAAAATCAGACAAGCTAGCTGCTACAGGGTGTTTTTTTGAATTACGATACAAGCTACTTTTTTTGTACATCACTAATTGGAAACCAACTATACAAGTATTATTCAAACTGTTTTGGTATCAAAAGAAAGATCTTTCTCAAATCTATAACCTTTATTTACTGAACGATAGTATATCTGTACATATTTACAAAAAAATACACGTTAAGGTGTGTACCAATCAAGATGCTTCCTTGCCATTACAACATGACAAAAATAACCCACTCATATCACTGAATGAAATATATACCAACTCGACTTCGATCACCAAGTATAATGTCTTCATGTAAGAACAAACGACTGACGATGAAAAACACGGTGGGCCCCACATTTCCCATTACCTGATGAACGTTGACATACTAGGTACCTCGTACCTAAAAACAGCTCTCCATAGATTCCCAGAATCGACTTGCCCTTCTTCTTCAACTGAAACCACAGGAAAAAAGAGACGAACCGCTCCCCCAGGGAGAATAAATTAGAAAAAAAATATTTCACACAGTCGCATCGCTCGGCGTCCTTATTCGGGACAGGCGGGTTTAAGGGGGGGTTAGAAGAACACACTATATATTGGGGAGGGCAGCCATGCTACTCTTGCAATCGATCAATGTCCGCTCGTGATCGCCGAAACACAGAGAAAACGGTTCGAGAAACTCGACACACTCCGCTGGCGATTTGAAGGCCAATTCTTGCACCACAAAGTTGACAGATACGTTCTGACGGTAGCTAAACATAAAAACAGATGTAAGTATACGGTGGATTGCATGTGAGTTCGGGGATGTAAATATGACGTTCATTTCGAACAGGATCTTGATCTACAATGACTACGTTATAATTTATATTGGCTAGAAAAGTACAGCATGGTGATACGCCAGAACGGCGAATGTCGGTACTACTCTATGGGCCATTGGCGGATTGTTTACATTGTTTGGTAATGGTGTTTATGTTCATTTCGTTTTCAAACGTTCAGCTTTGTTATTTGTGTATTTTCGAACTTTGTATTTTCCAGTGGTTTATTGTGTTTCGATTGAGGACTATATCATCTCTGTTCAACATGAGATAACCTACCTATCTCTAGTAGAAACTCATATATACCAACATGGAACAAGGCCGAAGAAAGTTGTCCCAGTCTGCTGATGGTAAGGGACAGCACTCTGCCAGTTCTGAATTTCAATAAAGCTCCGCATGTCATTTTTCCTACAAGAGAGGAATGGACTGGCAATACACCAGGTTTGCTTCCTGCCAACGAATCAACCTGGTTCACGGATGGCTCAAGGTTTGGTGGCGGGTCTGGTGCAGGAGTATATGAAGGAGGAACAGGGAAAGGAATCTCAGTACCTCTTGGCAAATACGCTTCAGTGTTCCAGGCCGAAGTGTTTGCAATTCTGACGTGTGTCCAAGAAAATTTCGGCAGAAGTGGACGTGGACCAGTCACCATAATATGCTCGGACAGCAAAGCTGCTATTATGGCATTGAGATCCAATAGGATCACAACTAAATTGGTGTACTGTAGAAGTGCCTTAGAAAATATGGCAAAAACTAGGAAAGTCAGCCTCATGTGGGTTCCAGGACACTCTGATATCCCAGGGAACGAGGAGGCAGACAGACTAGCCAAGATCGGTTCAGGAACGACACCCATTGGACCAGAACCGATATTGGGAATACCCAATAGTACGGCTATGTCCTTCATGAAGGAAATGCTACAGAGGCAGTTCCTTGAAACATGGCGGGACACACCAGGAATGAAACAATCAAAGCTCCATTTAAAGGAACCATCATAAAGGCTCACGAGAGAGATCCTGTCACTTAATAGAAGGGATCTCAAGATGGTAGTTGGGCTCTTAACTGGGCACAACCACCTCAACAGGCACCTAGAACTCAAAGGGATCAAAGATGATCCCATCTGCAGATGGTGCTTGGAGGATGATGAAACATCATCACACATACTCACTGAATGCCCCGCGCTGGTGCATCAGAGGAAACCTGCATTTGGGAGCATTGTACTGCACCCAAAGGATGTGAAAGTGACTCAGCTGAGGAAGCTGCTGAATTTCGTCAAAGAAATCGGCATACCCAGCTGATTCACAGGACAAGTGGGCGCACAATGGGCCCGACTGAAGAGGCCTGAGTGCAGGGGTCTACGCACCCGCCCACCTGTGCAGAGAAGAAGAAGAAGATACCAACATACATAAGCTGTTACTTTTTATCATAATAGAACGAGAATTCTCATAAAAACCTGTGTGGGATGTTGATTTCAAATTGGAATAGATGGCTGGAATATTCCCCTGATAGCATGATATTTTTAGAAAGAAATCCAGCATACCTTTTGGGAATAAAATGTTCTTTCGAAGGTATAGTTACATAGTTTTTATTACTTGACTGTTTACAACTCAATCATCAAAAATCGCAATTTATATTCATGATACAAAAACTGAATGTACACTATCAGTAAAGTGTAAAGAACAATCTCTCATATGTTCAGACACTTTTTTTCCTATCTTCAAGTTATGAATCGACACCTCTCTTCTATCGATCACTTCCTTGTTTCCCAACTTAGTTTCAAATACAAATTTGGATTGTCCTGATTCTGGAGAGGTATATGAAAGCTATATTCGGGATTTTTCTGCTCAAGATGAACAATGGGGTACACAACTATAATGATTCATGTTAAAAAATTATAAATAATTAAAACACAACTACTTCTGATACAAAACACACGCAAACTGATGTAAACAAAGCGATCAATGGCCCATACGTTGTTAAGTTATATTAGAAAACGGTAGAGAGCGTATCCCTTAGCAAGATTCGCCTTTTGAAGTGATAACTACTATACAGGGTATGTCACGACGAGCTTACACTATATTTATATCGAGAATCAGTCGAAAGAAATCCATGAAAATGTGCAAGCTAATATTTTAGAACATGCTCTTTCAATTACAAATATTTTCGACAATGCAGTGTAGCCGCGTCTACTAGGGAGTAGTAGAAACATTGATATTTCAATACCCTGTACTTCATCGTATTTTCAGGTTTTCCCTGAAGAGCTGACTTTATCGATATATCACACTTGGGGTCTATCGAAAATGATTACAGAGATATAGGGTGTTCAAAATCTAGATTTTTCAACTTTAGGATTTTTTTGTGTCGAAACTATTCATTATCGGTCAAAACGACTTACATGTCTCTATCTCAACTTTTGATTTACTATTTACTGATATTTAATCGGAACAGATACAGGGTGGTTCAAGATTCAGAATTCTGATCTCCCTGTTAATGAACTATCATCTTGTTTCATATCTTGGTTTTTTTGACCTAGGACTAACTTTGAATATTGATTTCAATACTTTCAAAGTACAGCAAATTTTAATTTTTTCAAAAATTGGTTGATAAATTAGGATAAAATCAGATGAAATCACTAGTAGGATTGAATTGGTCACTGGTCCATGTTAATTACACTGAAATGACAAACAATATTTTAAAACTACGATATTTCCTGTTATTACCCCACCAATGAATCACAAGTATTATAAGTTTTGATCTAAAAAAAAAACATCTAGTATATATAAACTAAAATATGTTCTACCTTAATTTTAAAAAGACCCACATACACATATTTCCAAAGATATTGGAAATATGTGTATGTTCAGAATTTCATAATTAAGGTTTATAATTTTTTTTTGTTCAATTCTTATGATGGGCATGCTTGGTTCACACTGAATATTGTGGTACTCTGTTGAATAAACTAGTAACATATTTCATTTCGGAATTCGATCGAAAAAAAACACCATGTTGCACTTCTTGAACCCAGGTAAATTTCAAGATCTTTTGAGATAATTGAATATGTGCCAAAAAGTCACTGTGCAAGTGCATCACATAAACTCCATATATGATAAATCGTGCTTGTGCACCACCAACAAATATAAAAAAAATGTTATTAAAATATTTACATCCCCTGCAAAATACCATCAAAAAAATGTTCACTGTAAAAATTAAAATAATTAATGTTTAACGTGAAAGAACAGGATCAACAAATTATTAAATTTCTGAATTTCATTGATTTTATGTAGTTACATATTCACCAGATGAATTATCGTTGCCTGGTATTTCAGATTTTTGTATTGTGAAACAACAAATTCTCCAAAACGTGCTAGATATATAAATTTCACATATTCATCAAAGAATCGAACACAGTAACTTACATTTTCCTCATTGACGCTAAATATGACTTTCAAATGTGAACGCTGTTACATAATCTCAAATATAATCAATATAAAACTTCACTGAAAATACGACTTGTACTTTCAATTCAATTATAAAAATGTCAGAATTCTAGGTATGAGATAAATGATAAAAACATATTAAAGGCGGCATCGCTTCAGACAAACTTACAATCAACAACATACATCTCATTCTTCACATACAGAAATAGACTTTTACCATAGTCTCTACTCTATAATAAAACTCAAGATTGAGATTTGATTTTCTTGTTTTTCCAGATCATTGTCCCTCCATAAGCGCAATACCATAATACTCAAGGCACATAATTATGATTACCTCAAATGAATTTTTCAAAAAAATACGAGTTTCAGGATATTTATCAGCATTTGAGTATAATCTGTGATGGGTTACTAAGAAAAAACAGCGTACTTGAGGTAAAAAGAATGTAAAAAGATAAGCGCGAATCTTGACGAAGAGGATATAAATACATTGTATTTTGTCATATGAAACCAGAATTAGTGGGATCGTATTCCTTGGAAACCAAGTTAGAACCCAAATAAATTTCATGATTTTGATCATGAACCTGTTATTGTATTCTGGATGTAACCCAACAGATAGTTTGTGTGCCCTACAAGAAACCGTGTCAGAATCACGTGTTCTAAAATGGTCAATAAGATTTAATAAATCAATCAATCTTTCAAAATATGTATCTGTAGATTCAAGTAAAAACTATCAATAGACCTTTCCATGATAATTATTGTTCTGTAAAAGTTTCATAAACATTTTTCGTAAAGCTTTTGGAAAAATATAAAAAAAAAAACAAGATATTTTCAGGTTTTTGAGTATGTGACATTTTTTGGAACCCAATGAAATAATAACTTCAAATATTCCCTGCCACATATTTCAACATTCAACACATAAACAATTTTCCATACATATTTCAACCTTGCACAACAGTGAAAATAGAAAAAAATATCGATAATCCTTCATATATCTATTGACCCTTCAACATTCATTCAATCAGATACATCAGATACGTACAGATACATTAGATCTAATAAACTTCATTTACAGCATGGATTCTTACTAATTATCAAGGATATCCACTGACTTCTTCTGATTTACACACATATTGTGCCATTACTCAAAAGGCGATACAAAAATGTCAAATTATTTTAATCAACAGTGCTTCAAGAATCTAGTTTTCTGAAAATGAATTTTTTTTTTTTTGATATTCAACTTTTTTCTGTTTAATGTGCAAGAACAGATATTTGGATAGTTTTTGTCCAGGAACGTATACCCAAGAAACTAGAAAAATTCAATATACAGGGTGTTCCGTTGGGAAACGGAAATACTTCAACGGTGGATAGAGGTGACCAGGGGGGTTTTGAATATATCATATATGTGGAGTCTTACATATTTCATTATCGAGATATAGGGTGTTCTATCAATTCTGGTCATTTCTTTGAAGGCTCATGGCATACGAACCACCTGGTATATATTTTTTTTTTTATTTGGTAGACGTGTTTTCCCACTGCTACCCCAGCGACTTGTATATCCGTCGGAAGAGAATTCCAGGCCTGGATTAACAAAAATTCAACATATCATTGGGTCCTCGAAATCACACCCTGTATGTTTGAATTTACAAAATCTGCTTACATATGTAAATTCGAACATACAGGGTGTGTTTTCGAGGACCCAATAATATGTTGAATTTTTGTTAATCCGGGCCTGGAATTTTCTTCTGAGGGATATACAAGTCGCTGGGGTAGCAGTGGGAAAACACGTCTACCAAATATCAAATAAATATACCAGGTGGTTCGTATGCAATGAGTCTTCAAAGAAATGACCAGAATTGATAAAACACCCTATATCTCGATTAGGGATCGACCGATACCGATATTTATATCGGCCTATCGGTGATATCGGCCTCATTGGCCGATTATCGTATCGGCCGATATCAAAAACCGATAGACCGATATATTTTTTTATTGGAAAAAAAAATCAATTTGAAAAATGAATGAAAAAAATACACTTCCATCAAAAATATATCTTTATTACCAATAAAAAGTATGTAACGTAAAATCAACTAAATCCTTTGACTATAGTAATTAGAAATTAATAAAATAAAACCCTATGCGGATTGCAACTGTAAGGTAAAATTATTTTACCTTACTAAAATACAAAAATAACTGATTAATACTGATAATTTAATTTTGGTTGATAGTGATGCAAAAACAATAAGCTTTCTGCCCTATCAGGGCAGCCTGCTACGTTTTGCATCATAAATATTACCAGCTTCAGAGGAAAACTTGTTAACGGCCGATAGACCGATATATCGGTATCGGCCGATTATCGGTATCGGCTAAAATTTCTATATCGGTCGATCCCTAATCTCGATAATGAAACATGTAAGACCCAACATTCAGAACCACCTTGGTTACCGCTATCCACCGTTAAAGTATTTCCGTTTCCCAACGGAACACCCTGTATATATGATCTAAGGGTATGTTCCGTAAATCTTGGTTATTTCGGTTAGTAGTTTTCCGTTCCGTAAATATGAAATGCTCGGTTGGTACCTGAAAAATGGTTATTTACGGAACTCGGTTGCTGAAAAACCGGTAGATTCGTTATCACCAGAACGACTTTTGATTTTCTCTGGTAAGATCGGTAAGTTTGAGTTGACCTTGACATGATTTAGTTTTCGGTTTGATTCTTTGATTTAAAAATCACAAAAGAAAACAATATTCGCATTTCAATTATTGCGTTATGTTCGGATAGTTTCCTTTAGTGAGGTAAATTGATAATATTATATTTTCAGTTTGATGACGTTTTTTTCTATTTCTATTCATTCTTTGTTTGTGCTTACTGTGCTAGCTGTGCACGAGAATTAGGGACTTTTGGTTGCCATAATTGAAAAATATTGACAGAGCATTAATGTTTGAAATACGATCAAAACTATAATTTGACAAATGACGACCATTCCGTAAATGAACCACAACAGTAGTCCCCAGTAGATAACCACTATCAAAATTGTTCTATATATATTGTGTTTCTTATATCAATGCCAAAAATGCTGTGTTACCCAAAAAACTAACTGAATATTAATTTACCATTTTGCTTTTTATTGTATTGCTTACCAGAAAGAAGCCAAGGAATCCCTGATAATTTTGAAATCCGTCCCCAAGCAAACTACTCAACCAGCTAATAAATAAAAAAAATGTATACATACCTCTTGATAATACATTTCAAATAATCTTTACGTTCTCTCTCAATGAACCAGTCAACGAGATAACCGGTCATCAGAGGAGCCTCGCGGTAAAGCGCAAAAAATTTATGGAAATTCCCCGAACCCCAAGCCGATCGAATTTTTAACGCGAAAGATATACACTGGTCATTTTTTTCTTCTTTCGATAGCGATTTCATAATTGTCATTATATCTGAAAATAAAAAAAATATATATCAACAAACACTCGAATATTAAATCAAGTGCCTTCTTAGTAGAAATTCACATAATGAGGAAGACCACTTATATTATCGATGATTGCGCTTCCCACCTGTCTGATCGGAAGTCGACCCAACTTTCGATTTTCATAAGGCACCCTGTATATTTCTGTAGCCTATCTCATTTGCCTCGGAATTCTCTTTTCAACTATTTATCACAACTCGATATTCGTTCATTAATTGGCTGTTAAATTGCATTTTATCGGAATACATGTAGTTGGCTGTGGCCTGAATGCAATGACATTTCAATGTTTGATAGGCTTAGAAAAACAAAAGATCATTACTTAGACGATATTATCAGAATATTTTCCATGCCCTAATCGGTCCCAGAAGATTGCCAATAATTTCATTGAGTTGAAAGAAATCATCCGAAAATAACTTACAATATTGAGAAAACTAAGATAGAAACTCTCATTTGGCTACTTATGAAGAAACTGAAATTATTGTAATAATTGATGTCCTTATATCGTGAGTTATTTTCGGATGATTTTTTTTAAACTCAATGAAATTATTGGCAATCTTCTGGGACCGATTAGGGTATGGAAAATTTTCTGATGATATCGTCTAAGTAATGATCTTTGGATTTCTAAGCCTATCAAGCATTGAAATGTCATTCTATTCCAGCCACAGCCAACTTCATGTATTTCAATAAAATGCAATTTAACAGCGAATTAATGAACGAATATCAAATTGTGATACATAGTTGAATAGAGAATTTCAAGGCAAATGAAATAGACTACAGAAATATACAGGGTGCCATTAAAAAAAAAAGTTGGGTCTACTTCCAATCAAACAGGTGGTTGAAAAAAATTGTCATTGGGTTCAAGGAGAGCGCCATCATCGATGATATAACCCTTGTGAATTTCAAATTTTTATCTCTTCAAATAAAAAAGCAGTACAGTCTGGTACATATCTCCTGTATCACCCGGTATATTATATTCTGCAGTGATGCAGTGTGATTGGTCTGCTCAAGGATGACTAAAACTGGGACTTAAATTGTTCTCATCAGTCATTTGGTTGCCCCCTTACGAGTAACCGAGCAAGGAATGACGGGGGTCTTACCTTAAAAACAAAAAAAAAAAAAAAAAAAAAGTGTGATCCCAAACAATTTCTTTGGCCATCAGAAAAATTTTTGCAATCTGGGATTTGAACCGGCTGCCTGACCAAGTATTTCTTTCCTACATGCTGAATTGTGCTTTAAATTTTTCAGGGATATTTTGGCTTTTCCATAGTTGAAATTACGCCATTCTAGCAATCAGCCACTCCCATTTCATCTGAAGTGCGAATTTGTTTTTGAGTGTTTCTTTCCTTCTACCCCCAGGTGGCGTTTGTCTCCATCTCGTGGGTATTAAATGCTGGAATTTGTTTACGTTGGGTCAGGTTCGCACCAGATGGCTGCCATGAATGCCATCTGGGGACACCCCTGCACTGAGAGCCAAGGCTTGATGCCGGTCTGTAGGTATTCAAGAATTCCTGAACAATTTATGTACAATTGAACGTTTAGGAAAGAAACACTCCTGATCTTATTCGTCCATAAGAATCGTAGAATAGATTTTGGGAGAATGTAATTCACTGTTCTGCGTATCATAAAGCCAGGAAAGTATTTGTTTTTCTCTCGTTATCTACCAGTTTCTTTCATTTATGAACATTCGTGGAAATGACAAATGACTGAGCTTTGCATATTACATTTTATTCCACTTTGAGCGTTTTGGCTTCTTTGTAGCATTGTCCTAGTATGAATCAAGATATTCAAAATTATACTAATTAGTTTTTTATATAGAGCTCATGATGATGTCGTTTTAAAAAATCAGTGGTCTTCCTCATTGTCAATTAACAAATTACAAGGTGACATGAAAGGTATCTTACAAAATCCTAATGGTGGTATATCTCAAATAGAATGTGTAATTAATTTTTTTATTTGCTTCCTTCCTAAAGGGGTATTTCCAATCCCCCATATTATATCTCTTCATATACATATATAAAATTGACATTGAAATTGACATTTCTTGTTGTCTTTATCACACCAAGAAAGATAACTGTTCATAATTGGGATACATGAACAAATAATAATGAATCATTTGAAAAAATAATGAAGGTTTTTGTATACAATGGTGCCAACCGAACTTACCTAAGGTATTTTTGGTGAAGATGTAGTATAATATCCTATAAGCTATGAACTCGTTCCTGTTGGGACCACCTATTTCATTAAATAACATTTTCAACTGTGTTTGACACTGGTTGAACTCCTCGTGATCGCCTTTTTCAAGGGCGATGCGAGCGTGCGTTTCATATACCTGTACAGTGAACTCATTCCTGACACCTTGAACCTGAAAATAACACAACATGTCAGCGAAAACATGAAAGAACTTTGAAAAATAAAGAAAAAAAAACTCTCATCATTAAAGGTCGATAGAATGAATTCCATCAATTTCATATATTTGAGAGTGAATTGAAGAAATAACATATTGTATCAATTTACGAACCTTCTTCATATTGATTAATTGATTGATTGATTGTCTTTATTACCCCAAGAAACATTTCTGTTCAAAATAGGGGTACATGAATACATACATAAATAAATATATAATAAAGGGTTAATTAATGAATGCCACTCAGTGGAAACAAATTAATGTTGTTTCTTCACATATTCTTCATTCAGGAACTTGGCTCATCCACCATTCCTATGACGTACTTTCTGAAAATCGACATTCACACAGAGATAGAATACGATTTCCTGTGCCAGTACGATGTTGCCGACATCAATATGTCTAGATTTCCGGAAATTGTTCTTTTAATGCATAATAACTATATCATAACCATAACAACAATAGGATATAATAGGTTCTCAATCCTACTTTGTCAAGTACAATGAATAATGATATTTTGCCATAGTATCTATAATTTTTCAATATCGTTATATTACAATATGTTATTCATAACTTGTCAGTCATTTTTTCGCAAATGAATTCGTTCCTTAACAAAGCGCCTAATACTTCGAGTCCGTTCACACCACTCAAAATACTGCCAGGCACAACAAGAGGAAGGAGCCATGGGTGTCGGCTTCATTCTGTTCTGACCGATGGCAGTAAATTATCATTATCATTAAATGTATCCGATATCGATTAATTGATTCAATGATATGATCGTTGAGGATCAAGATCTATTGGAGATATTTCAATGCATAAATAACAAAACCATAACCTGTCAGAATGAAGTCAACTACCTTCTGCATTCCTGCTCCGAGTGCATTTGTGGTTATGTATGTTTTTGTTTACCAGTTTTACTTCTTCTATTTTTTTCATTCCTCAGCTATTCATTACCTATATTCTTCAGCCGAAAATTAGAAATTGCTCAAATTTGAAAATGAAAACGACTTGGACTGTATCGGTCGCCATTCTGTACAGCGTGGACATAAAACTGGAGAGTTCCGAACTTATTTTATGAAAACTCATCTGAAGGAAACTTCCCCATTTATTTGTAAGTCGAATCTTATATGGTGTTCTCGGATGATTACGGCAAGCATTTCTAGCCCAATCACCTTAGTATCAAATTTGACGAATAGCGGGAATCGAACCCAAAGTTCTGAAAATTGGTGTACATGTTCCCTTTGGCATGACTTTCAACCAAAAAAAAGTCACCACCTGTACCTGTAGAGCTAACTCCGCCATCTTGAAAAATGTGTGCACTTTTTCAGTTATTCGGTTATATCTCAGTATCTGTCAACTTTATCGACATCAATATTCTGAGGTAAAATGAAGAAAATTGAATTTAGAGAAGAAAAGTTCTCCACATAAATACTCGTTTAGTGCATGGTTTATCAGTAAATCGTAAAACAATATGCGATATTTGAGAAACTTACTCATAATTATTCTGATATACATATATTCCAACTACAAGCAACTGTCAGAGAGTCGACGCCATATTCAAGGATCCTCGCAACAGCGATCTGCCATTACAGAATACCAGTGTTGCCACATATTGATGTTTTTTTTTTTTTACATCGTATGATTTGGCAGTAAAATCAAACGTTCTTGTCAATCTGCTCCAGTTACATTGCCTACGTCAGGAAACACTACGGCTTCGACGGGTACTCTGATGATGCTGATGGAACTAAAAAGGCTGAACAGCATAGACGTGCTCTTAAAAATACATGTGCAGAAATATGTTTTGTTTGATGAAAACATGCCGGTCACTGTCGCACAAGAAAAATTACTAGCTAACCCGAAGAACAAGAAGCGATTGATTGCTATATTATCAGAAAAAATTAAGGGTTCATCACAAAGCAAGCAGTGGACGATACGGATTCGCTAAAAATACAGACAGCTATTGAAATGTCGTCTTCTACCCAAGTCACCGTTGTTGGAGAAGATGTAGATCTACCTATTCTACTCATAGCTTTGGCTCCAGCAGAACGCAACATTTATTTTGTGAAACCAAAAAAGGCAATGTATAAAGGCAAAAAGGTACTGTTACCGCGAACTACAAACCGATATTAAATAACAGAGCCCTATCCTTTTCTTACATACCTTTGGGGGTAGTGATACCACATCAAGTTTCTTTAAAAAAGGAGAGTTGAAATGCTTCAAACTCATGAAGGACCGGCCATCATTACGAGAAGTTGCGAAGGCTTTCAACAACCCGGAAGCTAAGAGTGAAGAAGTATCTGCTACATGTGAAAGATTCTTTCTAGCTCTGCATGATGCCCATAAAACGGAAACATCATTGAACAAGCTACGGTACAATCTGTTCCCAAATCTGCTACAAAAAAAAAAGTAGATCTGGCTTCTCTGCCACCGACGGAAGCAGCTTTGAGGCAGCACTCCTTCAGAGTCAATCATCAGGTACAAGAGTCGTTGGTTAATAAAAAATGTCCTGAGGTTTGGGGGTGGAAGAGGAGTGCTGTTGGTCTCGTACCTGTGCCAACTACCCTACCTGCTGCTCCAGATTGCAAGAAAGGATGCACGGCAGCCTCCGGATGCAGAAAAGCGGGTCTTAAATGTTCGATTAGTTGCGAATATTGCCTTGGAGCATCGTGCCTCAACGCACAATACTGTCAGGACAACGCCGAAACGCTGGAATCCGAGGTGAAGGACGATTTTTCCGTTTCATCTCTTCTAAGTAATGAATACGAAGTTCCGGACGAACCCGACCCGATGGTTGTATTTTCAAATATCGAAGAATACATGCCTCATTCTCCATGTTATACCCTGCGTCTTCGAAATGGGTGATATACCCGAAGCGTAGAGTTGTCCCAGTTGTCATCAGACCGAAATCGGCTTTTGAGACCTGGTGGGTCGAAACCCCAATTGTCAGTAGGAGCAAGACAGTACTTGCTCCTACTGACAATTGGGGCAACTCTGACCATCCTGGAACTCTGGATTATGAGATCTAGCAGCTTTTCTGCAGGTCACCATGAGCGTATACAACTAAATTATAGTTTGTCCAGTCGGTTTGCAATATTTCATATTTTGCCAAATCGTTGTGGCGACATTAGTCCAAAACCGTGCATATTTCGGAAATAATCAATGAATACTTTTTTACGATGAATTTTGTTAGCTTCCTTTTACCTCTCCACCTTTATCGCGATAAAGTTGACAGTTACCAAGATATACGTGAAAAACTGAAATATTGCACCTATTTTCCAAGATGGCGGCGCAAGCTCTACAGGTATGGGTGGTGACTTTTTTTTGGTGAGATGTAATGCTAACACGTACACCAATTTTCAAAACTTTGGCTCCGATTCCCGCTATTTTTTCTAAGGTGACTGGGCTATTCCCCGCGTTTTTCATGTTATGAAATATCCTGGATTTCAATAATTATTTTAAAAAGTTACAGAGCTCTGAGAAAAAAAAAACTGTTTGCGACAGTGAACTAGTAGAGTTAGTACTTCGAAATAATAAAATAAAACTTTTCACTGAAACAGGCCCATTCCCAACTCACCGTCAAATCCTGCCGGATCGACTTCAGCTGATCGCACACGTAGAAATAGTCCTGTCGCTCCACCCAGCGCTTCTTCACCATCTGCAGCGCTGTGCGCAGCACGTCGACCGGTCGCACGTCGCTCGCGTCAGGAGCCTTGGTTAACCTCAAAAAAGACTTCTCCGGCTCCCGACACGTGCCCACCACGTGACAGTCCGACCAGTCGAACTCCGAGCCGTCCTCGGAATACTTGTCGATCGACACGTTTTTGCTGTTGTTGGGTTTGCCGTGGCTGAATCTGGCGGCTCTCTGCTGCAGCAGATCGCTGTTTTCTTCCAGCTCGCTGCCGAAGGTAGAGTAGAAGGCGGCCTTTTTCTCTTTGGCTTTTTGCTGTTTCTTGGCCGCCTTGGCGGGTTTCGTTTTGGTCGGACCGAGGCGGTCCGCCATTTTACTCTTGCTCTTTTTGCCGGTGGGCTTCGACAGCGGCTTGAAGTTTTCGTCGCTGCTGGAGCTGGAACTTCCACTATGAAAAATTGAATAAGTGAAAATGAATGCTTCCAAAGGCCAAGGGCTTGAATTTTTAATTTTTCTGCGTGTTTTTTTTTCACCTCAAAGTATCAGAATATGTTCTTTATTGAGAAAAGAACAATGTAAAACACAAAATGAATGATCAAGAAAACACATAGACCTCTCTGTTTTTATGAATTCGGCAAAGTATCACAAGATTTAAGGGGGCCAGGTAGCCGTGCAATTCCCATCGACTGCAGAAATTTTTCTGATGGCCCAAGAAAGTGTTTGGGATCACACGTTAAAAGGTGAGGCTCCCGTCATTCCTTGCTCGCACAATACTCTCGAAGACTTCTGAGGGTTGCTTGTAAGGGGGCAACCGAATGACGGATAGAACATTCTCGTGAAAAAATTGAAGGAAACAGAAAAATTTTGAGTTCAATTGTATCGTCAATTGTATTTTGCGGTACGCACGATATTTCTTTACGTGGAAAACTGAGTGACAGAGGTAATTTCATCGATCTTCTACATTTTCGTATAGAAAGTGGTGATAAAGTCTTTGGGCTACATCTAAAAACTTGCAAACGAAATGAAAAATATATATCTGCAAGAATACAAATTGAACTGATCAACATTTATGGGCAAACCTTACTAAAACAAATAAGGGATCTAATAAAAGTCTGAGGCTTACAAATTATTACACTTTTTGCCTAAACGAATGATTGATCTAGACAAAGAAGCGTTCGCTGGAAGTGTTCAGTCAGTAAGTACAATGTATAATTTTCAAAACAATGTTATTACTGAAGCAGATATTTGGTATAATACTTGTAAAATGAATGACGAGTGGATGAACAAGAATCTGGAGGAAATTTTTGATATGGAGAGTGAGAGACTGTTTTATCCCTCCATCCATAATACATTGAAAATTATCCTAACTCCTCACAACTTGTAGTGTTGAGAGGACTTTCAGTACTTTGAGAAGAGTTAAAACTTGGTTGCGATCAACAATATCGGAAGATCGACTTAACGGACTCTGTTTGATGAGTATTCATCAACATATTATAGATGGAGATAAACTAAATTTTATCAACAGAGTAATTGATAAAATCGCTCAAGACTCCAGGAAAATGCTATTTTTGTTTGAACAAGATTGAGATTATTTCACGTGCAATTTTCAACTGTTATTTTGGCTTTGAAGAGAATGTGATATTGATTTTATTTATTTCGTTTCTTTTTGTTTAATTTTTGTTTTATTTTCATATGTTATAATATAGAGTAAACAGTTTTTCTAATTACTAATTATTATACATTATTATTTTGACTTGCCCCCCTGAAATAATTTCTGCGGACGCCCCTGACCCCCATCCCGACGCCGTGAGTACATGGTGGGCCCACGGCCAAATTTAGATCGACAATGGTCTGACAAATACTTCTGAAAAATACGGCCTGCATACATACCTCGCCCCCCTGTGCCTCTTCGGACTCCTCGACCTCGACCTTGACCTCGACCTCGACGACCTCCTCCTGCCTCCGCCGTTCGGCGAACGCGACCCCGATTTGCGCGACCCGCTCCGCCCCGTCGGCCCGCCCGCCAAGGCGGCCTTCACCCCGAGGCGGGCGCCTAGGCCGGGCGATAGGCCCTTCTTGCCGTTCTGGAACTGGGCGAGCTGGCCGGGGACGGGCTTCGCCTGGCCCGTGAAAGCGGGCACCGGCCCGGGAGCGGCCGGAGAGGACGGGCTGTTGCGTTCGCTGTGGATGTTCGGCAGCGCTTCGGCGCTCCAATCCCTGCAAATTTCACGATCGAATCATCACCGAGGGTCATACTTGGTGGAGCATACATATTCATAGAAAAACTGGTGAAAATAACATCGACAACAAATAGAAAATTATTAAACGAGCGGTAATGTAGGTCATGAAGTCAGCTTCGGCGCTCCAATCCCTGCAAATTTCACGATCGAATCATCACCGAGGGTCATACTTGGTGGAGCATACATATTCATAGAAAAACTGGTGAAAATAACATCGACAACAAATAGAATATTATTTAACGAGCGGTAATGTAGGTCATGAAGTCAGCTTCGGCGCTCCAATCCCTGCAAATTTCACGATCGAATCATCACCGAGGGTCATACTTGGTGGAGCATACATATTCATAGAAAAACTGGTGAAAATAACATCAATAAACTGTATCAATCAATATTAATTGAATGTGAAACACAAATTCTAGAGCAGTAGTTTTCAAGGATTTTGGAATAATCAAGAAAAATTGGAACTAAAATTATTTATTATTGCCCTCTCATGGCTCAATGCTGCATTTTCATATACAGGGTATGTCACAACAAGCTTACACTCTATATCGAGAATCAGTCGGGAGAAATCCATGAAAATTTCATTCATTCATTTGAAATATCTTCAGCAATGCAGTGTTGCCGGTTCTATCAAAAAGTAGCAACAACTTTGTTATTTCAAATAGAATACCATGTATTCAATTGCATTTTTAGATTCTTCCTAAAGAGCTCATTTCATTGATACATCACACTTGGGTCTATCGGAAATGATTACAGAGATATAGGGTGTTCAAAATCGAGATTTTTCAACTCTAGGATTTGTTTCTGTTGAAACTATTTCTGATCGGCCAAAACTGCTCACATGTCCCTATCCCAACTTCTGATTTACTATTTACTGATATTTAATGGGAACAGATACAGGGTGATCAGAATTCTGAATCCTGAACCACCCTGTATCTGTCCCGATTAAATATCAGTAAATGAATAGTTTCCACACAAAAAAATCCTAAAGTTGGAAAATCCTGATTTTGAACACCCAATACCTCTGTAATCATTTTCTATAGACCCCAAGTGTGAAAATCTAAAAATGCGATGAAATACAGGGTGTTCCATTTGAAATATCAATGTTGCTACTACTTTCTAGTAGAAGCGGCAACACTGCATTGTCGAAAATATTTTAAATGAAGAGAGTGTACTCTAAAATATGACCATGCACATTTTCATGAATTTCTTCTGACTGATTCTTGATATAAAAATAGTGTGAGCTCATTGTGACATACCCTAGACTCCCTAGAGGTAATTTCATGTCAATAGGATTATTTTGTAATCTAAGTTCACCCTGTAAAATGTATTGTAACAACATGGTTTTGGGACACCTTGTATAATAACATCTTCAATTTTCCTATCCAGTTGAGAATAAAGCAACTAGGAATCTTTCCACATAGCAGGAGAGCAATAAATCATCATTTTAAATTTCTATTATTCCTAGATGTACTTTGACATCTGGCAACAATACATTTTACTCACAGAATAGTGACGCCAGTAGTTATGGGTGGAAAATTTCAAATGTTTGAATGAGACTGATTTGTGATTTTCTGACCTTGAAATCTTGCAGAAAATTTTCTGATAATAAAATCAAAAACATTAGTGGAGATTAAGAATGAAAATTTAAAAAAAATACTGTTTACTAGCCCACTTTGTTGATGTCCTACTATAGAACAATTTAGCAGAATAATTTAGCATTGCAATAATAATGACATAATCATACCAGTTGAGGCCAGTTAACAGATCAGATGACTCAGATGAGAGAAACAGAAAGTCACTATAATACAGGGTTTCTAGATCTTACAGACTGTGCTTTTGACCCCTGGTATAAGTGGTATAACATGTGAAGTAACATAAACAGTAAGCATCAAGGGCCATAAAAATGCCATGTTCATTTATAGAAAGCCTATAGATCATTTTATGGTAATTAGAGAATACAAAAAAGCAGTAGATATTATGCAGTTGTTTCCATATCTGTATTTGTCATAAGTATGGTTAACAAAATGAATGTGTATTGATGGAAATTGTTTCATAGAAAATTGTTTAGATCAATTTGAAAAGAGAAACTTAGAAATTGCTAGAAAAAGATCACATCCATGTCCATATTATCATTATTCCTATGAAATCAACTTTTTTGTTTGATGATTTTGTTAATGTTGGTGTTCTGTCTGGATAATGTTCATTTCAACAATATGAGAATACATATAACTTTCTATTTACCTATGTAGCTGACCATTTTGGTATGCTTGAGTTATTTTCCCCTTCAAGATAATCTCCACCTGGTTCTTATCAATTGCAGTTATGCATTTGGCATAACTCCTATGGACATAATCCTTCAAACTGTCAGGCCAATCATCAGAGGCATTGCCAGTCCCACTGCTAGCCTTGACTTCACTTTCAGGCTCTTCCACAGGTGGAGGGGGCTTACTCTCTACCGGCAGCGGGGGCAGAGGAGGCTCCACAGGTACATTTTCTGGAGGGGGAGCAGGCTTACACTCAGGTGGGGGCAAGGGAGGTGCATTGAAGTTATTCTGCTGGTGGAACTGATTGTTCTGATTGTTCCTGTTGCGCTTCCGCTTTTTCTTAGCAGCCCCACTATTGGGGGAATTTGTCAGTTGCAGGATAGCATTTGTTTTTGGCAGACGCTTGCCATTAAGCTGAAACCTGATGTTCCCAAACTGTTTTGGGGTTTGCAGTAAGGGGGCTCTAGGTATTGGTGGGCTAGATGGTAAAGGGGGACCTGGTGGTAGTGGAGGTTGAATTTTTGATTCTTTTGCTTGATACACAGAAAAGTTATTGAATCCTTGCATCATGTACAAATTCTGATAAAATTGTGCATAGTTGGTGGAATAATAGTTATTATAGTAGTAATTTGGCCATTGGGAAGACTGATGGTTTGGAAGATTGGGTGTAGTATCTGGAGGAGGTAGTGGTGGAGGTGGAGATGGTGATGGGGGGTCAGGAGGTAATGGAGGGTTTTCTGTTGTTCCTGGAGGTGGAGGAATAGCAGAAATGGAAGTTTCTGCCATATTGAGAATTTAAACCTGAAAAAATATATGGATTTGAACGTGCTTTGCTATTTATAAGACATTAAAGAAATGTTGAAATAAATAATTATAGAATATCGGTCATTCAAAATGGCGAAAATGAAATAAACAGTGTATTCAATTAACCTAGATATATGATATATGATAGACAATTCTATTTCCGACCGATTTTTACACCAGGGGTTCAAAGGGAACTCCAACAATGTTACTGAATATTATAAAATATGGAAATCAATAATCAATATTCATTTTGAGAACACAAGTATCCACATTCGCCATTTTGGATAAGTTCTTGACTCACCTACGAAAATAAAATAAAGATGTCACCAAATTGAATCTGTAAATACAAGAAATATATTAACAATAAACACGAATAGTTCAAAAAATGTTCTTGCTGGAGAATCCAGAAAATATACACAGATAAACACACTATTAACTTGAATACGTGGTATGAAAATCACTGAAAATCACTATAAATAAATATGGGATAATGCAATATGGATTCATGTCATCATTCTATCTGATCATTCAACATGACGTATTGACGTGACGTGTGTGAACTGTGGTGAACTGAGAAACAGTGTTGCCGCGTTGCCGGTGTTGAAGATACAAAAAGCGCCAACATCTAATGAAGAAGCGCAACAATCAAATTTGCGCATTTGCATTTTCTGATAGTTCCTTGAGACAAGGATTATAAACTCTTGAGACCTCAGGGGTGCGTTCGATTATTGACTATCAGCGTAAAGTAAACTAAGTTGACATCTGAGATTATTGTTTGCCAAGTTGACAAGTTAATCTTTGGTTTTTCATTGCATCGAAAAAAGTGCGCCCTGATAGATGCGCTTTTTTGCCGTGACGTCACCAATTGTTCTGATGGAATCTACACTGGAACGATGTTACTTCAGAATCAGACGAGACTGATACGATATTTTATACATATTTTATTGATTTTCAGTAACTACATCTTCAAAAATCTCTCAAGAATCTCAAAAATCCTCAATATTTCTGTTCAATCAAATCGAAACGGAGAATTACAATGGGTCAATTGCCATGTCAGTCTCCTCCAAACTGCTGGATTCTCGCAAAGCGAATGTGCGCATTTTATTATATACAGTTTGATACGACATATTCCATCACTATTCTAGCGAAATTTTACAATAGTTCGATGGTTTCATCGATTTCTGCGCATGACAAAATGTTGGAAAGATACACGCACCCTTCAGGTTCAATAATTCATAAAGGAGTAGGTGGATCTTATATTCCAGTTGCAATTAAATAATGTTGATTGCCGCTTATCAATGTTATTGAAACCACATCTTGGGTAGATACTGCTATACTAATAAAGCATTCACAATAAACCTCAATATATATACATATATGATTGAATAGTGAATTGAATATTTTGTTATCACAGCAGAATATTTTTCATCATCGAAATATGATGTTAAGAAGAAGTACTTTCACCAAGTTGAATACTTTGTAGAAATAAAAACAATCATAAACTAGGTTTGAAATAGTGCTAACCTAACTTGAAACAAACAAAATGAACAAACATCGTTTTTTCGCCCTGTAATAACTTTGTCAAGTCTGTGTAGTAAAATTTACCCACCTATTTTGTTGGGTTACAAGAAACAACTCGACGTCGAAAATTCCAGTATTTACGAACGACTGTCACGATTGTCACGAAGTAAAATATACACAACCTAACAAATTTCGAATGCAAAAGTGTGAACGCACCCCAGCAACCCGAAAATCTCATCCAAATTGTTCGCCTGAAAATGGTTCTGCGTAGAAACCCCCTAATTGTCGTTCATGACATCGAGTCATGTCTCTTGCTGTTCGGAATCATAGGTAAGAATAATGAGTAAGATGTATGGTGACAGGTCCAAAATATGCATGATTCATTTTCTCCAGTGCGATCTCGTCGATTTTGGCTCACAAGTGTGATATTTGCGAAACTTATCCTTGATTTTTCACAGCGTGAGCTTGATATGTCGTTCAACAGCGATAGCTATGCTATATATACTTGTGATAGTATTCAAAAGAAGAAAAAGTGCAATTATTCTCTAAAAATCACAATGCCACTAAACAAAGTTGAAAAGCGCAATTATTGCGCTTTTTGCGGCTTACTGGCAACACTGCTGAAATGAGGATATGAGAGAAAATTGGAGAGAAATGAGGTGCGCAGTGTGTGCACTTTGCGCATAGAGTAAAAATTCAAACAACCATGAGTTTCGCTAAGGATGCATTTTTAGACGAATCAGAACGATTCTACCGATGGTGATCAACTCGAATATCTCAACATTTCGAGCAATTTTTATTATATATTATTTGACAATATCAATAGGTACTCTAGATCGAAAGAATTTCATGAGAATTCAGAGTTCACATTATATCCACCAGTTTATGAAATCTAGCTATTCTCGTACATTCATGAGTCATGACATTCACCAGTAGATTCTAGAAATCTTTAGAAATCCATGGAAATTTCTAGTGCGCATGGTCAACCAATCGCAGCATATAAATATAGGAGTGACAGCACTAATGGCGCAATTACGATAGTTTTAAATTTGAAGTTACAAAAACCACTTGGAAAAGTTCGTCAGTGTGTCAGTGATAAAGTACAACATATTTATTAATTAATTATATTTATCAAAAAATAGTCAACCGCAGGGCAAGTCATAATGTCGCTTTTTCCTTACGTTTTTCGTGACATGATGAGACCATTGAAGTTGTTGGAACAGCACATGAAACTTGCAGAAGAGATATTTCATCCCACAACATTTGGTGCCTGGAATAACAGACCAAGATATACAATAGAACTGGGTGATGACATTTCTAAACGGGACTCCGTTATTCAGGATAAAGATAAGTTCCAAGTGAAGGTGGATGTGCAAGATTTCAAGCCAGAAGAAATAATTGTCAAGACTCTGGATGGGAATGCAATTCAAATTGAGGCAAAACATGAAGAAAAACAGGTGGATAATGATGGATTCATTTTGAAACAGCTAGTCAGGAGATTTGTGCTGCCAAGGGGGCATGATTTGAAGAGTGCAGTATCAAGTTTATCTTCAGATGGAGTGCTTACCATCACTGCACCAAGGAATGTTGAAGGTCTAGAGGAAAAGGTGATTCCTATAACACATGAATCAAAGGAAACCCCTAAGGAAGGCAAATAGATATGTGTCAGAGACTCTATTATTATTGTTGTGATAGTATAGGTATACCTATATTATTATAAATAGGTACATAGACTTATGTGTTTTTATTCAAATTTGACTGAATAATAAGGGTTGTACACCTATATTATATTCCAATGAAAAATAAATATTTTGATGCCTTCAGCAATCTGTGTTTTATTGTTTACTACCTAAAAATTTTTTATTATTTCTTGGACTACTTATACATATATATATATATATTTGAATTATATTGAATAGGAAGATTTTTTTATTTCCTGTTATTGTGCAACTTATCACAAAGTTGTGAAAAGTATAATATATATATATATATTATTCTACCTATAATTATATAGGATCATTATTACATATTTTTATGAATAAAGAACCCTTTTAAAATTCATATCACTATTTCATTCCAGATTTCATTTAAGAGTGATGATGAAATAAAAATTGGGAATTTACTCAATATTGTATAGTTATTTTATTCATAATGAGAAGACCAATTTGCAATTGAAATTTGGAGAATCATATCTTAGGTGTAGATTCACATGAAAAAATACCTGAAAATGTATTTTCAATCATTGGTGAGTTGTAATAAGGAAGAAGTTTGAACATATCTAATAGAAGAGGTGCTTATTTTTATTATTCCATGATTGCTATTAGATTGAAAAATGAAGGTTTTCAGCACTGGCGGGTTTTCTGGAAAAAAGTTTCACTTATTGTCATTAAGTGAAGTTTTGTATAAAGAACGGGGTCAAATCACGTCACATTGTGCTATTGGATTGGGGGGGGAATTGAAACACCTTCTAACTAAGATATATTTTAAATGGAAGAATTATTCAAGTATATACAATATAATATTATATTATTGTTACATAATCAAAGTTAAACAAACATCAGAAGTGCTATCAAACAGTAACTCCTCATTTTATTTGTAAAAATTTTATTGGAAACTGGCTGACAAAGTTGTATAAAAATATGTAACCGTTACTTTTGATAGTACTTTCTCAACAACAAAATAACAGAAAAAACTGAAAATGCGATTTTCTACCAAAAAATAAAACTCTGAATTTGGCTCAAGAGTCAGTTCATTGAAGAAAAAAAGTATCATATTATTCACATTGTTCAGTATTAAACTGAGAGGGAGACAAAGCTGTTGTACTGTGTTATATTCCGTTTCAGGATATCTGCACAGAGCCCCAAAACTCTTTCGAATCTATAACAAGAAAATTTGTTAATAATCACAATATCAACAGCAACAATAATTGAATAAATAATATTGATGTTGATCTGAAACTAATATACTAATGCTTAGAGCTCAGATCATGAACCAATAAAGAGGGTATGACATATTGAAAACTTTTCCACCCTCAATATCTTCCCTCCAGTAAATAATATTATGATTTATAACGATTTTTGTTCGCCCCTTATACACACAGTTGGTGATGTCATGAATGCTATGAATAGAGTTTTGTTTAACAATTGAGAAATTAATAAAGAACCTTCAATGTCAGTATAAAATATCAAAAATATATAATTTCGTTATCAAACTACTACACTAGCTGTAAGCAAAATCCGGCTCGAAGGACCATGTTGAACGAATCTGTCTACACACGAACAGTCGTGTCGACAGGCACAGCAATGGTTACCCAAGCCGAATTGCTGCGATAACAATTGCTGTTTCAGGAATTGTGAAATGCAAAAAACGCACAATGTGGACGAAATAGTGATGACTAAAATGATGCGAGTCGTCTCATATGAATCGTCTGAGTCGACTGAGACTCGTTCTCCAATACAACAGAAACTCCGCTGTCTATTTGAGTACACGTTCTTGAAATTTCCTGGTCACTCAAAAATAACAATAAATCATGGTGCCATAGATCAGGTTCATAATAACTCATCAGCTCCAGTACCAGTTCTCTTCCAAACTACAACTTTTTATAGTTCTTTTCTGAATGCAGCAATATCATTCTTGATTATTATCAACTGTAATATCTTCGTCTATTGGCGAACTTTACTAATTCGAATGCTTGTGCTTTTAGGATTCTGTTGGTAGAAATCTTCGATTTGATTTATGAATATTGTTTCTGTATTTCAGAGCTCCATAATTCATGTATTTCATTAAAAGACAACACAATATTCATATGAAGCAACAAATCTTCCCTTCCATTGTTATAACGTATTCCCCGATAAGGAAAAATAGGCGAGATGGTTGCGTAAGATGCCGCTCACCCTCCCGCAATATCAAACTAGCTGGAATATATATAAAAAGACACATTTACCTGGCCCTGTCCAGCTTGACTCGATTATTATCAACTGAGTAGTATCTTCCTTCTATCCGATAGACTCTATCGTTCTCGTGAATTTTACAAATTCGTATGCTTGGCTATTTAGGTATTTTTTCAAGGAACAGTTTCAAGTACAGCTAATGACATTATATGTGGAGTACCACAAGGGTCAATCTTAGGCCCTGTTTTATTTTTGATATATATCAACTCGATTGTTAACATCAAATTGAAAGGAAAAGTTTACATGTTCGCTGATGACACTACATTGATTTATTCCGCAGACTCAATCCAACAAATCAGAAATGCAATTGAAAGTGACTTGATTATTTTATCTTCATGGTTGTCCTATAATAAATTGAGTATAAATTACAGCAAATCAGCATTCATGTATATCTCTAAACGACGCCTCACAAGTGAACTAAAATTTGCCACAGCCATCAAATTCCTTGGGATATTCCTTGATGAACATTTGTCATGGTCCAAACATATTGAATCGATCAGAAAGAAAATATCTCCAGTAATCGGAGTACTCTACAGGATCAGACACCAAATCACTTTGAAATACTTGAAATGTTAATATTTTTCCTTGGTTTATTCAAAATTACAATACTTGATATCAGTTTGGGGTACAGCTAGATTATCAATCATGAAGCCAATCAAAATCCTTCAAAACAAAGTTATTAAATGTATATACAAACTAGATTACTTGGGACCAACAAAAAATCTTTATAAACCTAGGCAATTGTTAGATATTATCTCCATTTACAAATTCAATTTTGAAGTTAATAGTCATAAACACGAACACATAACCAGACAAAAAGATATGTTAACTCTCATCAAAATTAAATCAGATATGGGTAAAAGATCTATTTTATACAATGGAACAATTCTCTATAATGAATTACCTGCCAGACTAAAGAAAAAATTAAGTGTTGAAAATTTCAAAAAAGAACTGACAAAATACTTATGTCTTTGATTCTCTTCATGTCATCCTGAATCAATTCAAGAAATTATATTCAACAGTCTCTAGAAGAAACAACATTATATGTATTATGTATATGATTTAAAAATGATTATCTGATTATCTAATTTTTGTTTTTTTAGTTGCTCTTTCATAATTTTCCCTGCTATGAACATGTATGTTTCTTGGGAATAATAAAGATAATAATAATAATATTCATAATGAGCAACGAATCTTATCTTCCAGTGCTATTACGTATTCCCCAATAAAAAAAATAGACGTGCTCGTTGCGTGAGACCCCGCTCACCCTCCCGCACTATCAAACTAGCTAGAATAGATTCAAAGAGGCCCATTTACCTGGCCCTGTCCAGCTTGACGCACTTGAGCGCCCCGCCCGCCACGACGGTGGCCGCCCGCGGCCTGTCGAGCAGCAGCGCGATCTCGCCGAAGTAGTCGCTCGGCCCCAATCGGCCCACCTCGGCCGGCTCGCTGCCCTCGGCGCGCACCTGCCGCACCGTCGCCTGCCCCTCCACGATGATGTAGAAGTCGTCGCCCGGCTCGCCCTGTCGCACGATCGTCTCGCCCGGCTCGAAGCTGACCGGCTCGAGGGCGTCCGCCACCTGGGGAACAAATAATTACAATAAAATTCATTAATATATCGAAGACTGGTACCTTTATTGGCACGATAATACACTACACTGTTTTACCACCAACCAAACCGAATTTTTAAACGCTTCGACACGTGTTTCGCTAACTATGTTAGCATCTTCAGGAGAAGATTAAAACTAAATATCCTATTCTAGTGTGCTGCCTATACAGTCTGTCCAAGATAAGGTTGAACAGCATGGGGATCTCGAAAACGGTAAGAGATACGAAATCGGTTAAATGGGGAAAAAGTTGCGCATTCGGAGGCTCATATCAAGAGCCTTCGAGAATTTTGAAAATTATTTTTAGTTTTTGAGTTATATCGAAAAAAGTGAATTTTTGGAATTTCTATTTCTTTTTTTTTTTCCGTTATTATTAGAGATACAGCAAAACTGAGAATACTTTTTCATAGCAACTTTTGAAGACTTCCAACGTGGTAATACTGATATTTTCATGCGACGTTTCGTATTCGTGGAACCATCATCAACTTTTGTCTTTTGAATACGGTCCTGATAATTTTTTCACAGATTCTAAAAGGTTTTTTTATTCTGATTTCAACCATGTATTATACAAGGTGGTTCATTTGTGTTTCGACCTATTTTTGGCCATCATCAATGTTTTTTCGAAACTCCAAAGGAAAAATGCTATCAGTTCCACTTATTTTGAAGGAAAATTAGTCAACACACTAATACCTCATCAACTGGTTTCAATCAACAACCCATTTCATTTTGCGGAAACAAAAATTCCATCCATACAAATTCAGAATATGTCAAGCGCTAAAACCAGGCGATGACGAAAGGCGCAAGACATTCTGTGAGTGGTATACCAGGAAATGTTAAAATTTTGCAGATTTCTTTCGAACAATCATCTGGACTGATGAAAGCTAAAGCATGGTCACTAATCATGGTAGCTTCGATAGAAAAATACACATTATTGTTCACGAGAAAATGAACATTTATACATTACAGCGAGACACCGCTGAATAATCAGAAGTAAGTGAAACTGATGGCATTTTTCCTTTGAAATTTCGAAAAAAACATTGATGATGGCTAAAGGCTAAAAATAGTTCTAAACACATTCAAACCACCTTGTATAATACATGGTTGATTTCAGAATAAAAAAAGCTTTCAGAATCTGTGAAAGAATTATCAGGGCCGTATTTAAAAAACAAAAGTTGATGATGGTTCTACGAATACGAAACGTCGCATAGAAAAATCGGTATCACCACGTTAAACGTCATCAAAAGTTGCTATGAAAAAGTATTTTCAGTTTTCCTGTATCTCTAATAATAACGGAGAAAAAAAATAAAATAGAGATTCCAAAAATTCACTTTTTTCGATATAACTGAAAAACTAAAAAAAATTTCGAAAATTTTCGAAGGCTGTTGGTATGAGCCTCCGAATGCGCAACTTTTTCCCCATTTAACCGACTTCGTATCTCCTACCGTTTCCGAGATCCCCATGCTGTGCAACCTTATCTTGGACAGAGTATAACCTTGTATATCCCGTCCAGCGGCCAAACTCACCGTCAACCTCTCCCACTTGTCCAGATTCTCCAATATGGACACCCTCGACAGGAACTCCTCGTACATCTTCCTTTTGCGTATCGTCGAGCCCATGAGGATCCTCCGGTAGCTGTCCCTGTCGATGCCCCACAGCTTGACGTCCGTCTTCGCTTTGACAGTGGCGGCGCGCGGCGTGCCGTAGATGAGGGCCAGTTCGCCGAAGCTGCCGCCCTCGCCGATCGTCGTCACCAGCTCGTTGTTCACGTACACCTGTAAGATACGATTCCGACAAATTAATGTCGCGATGGAATACGGTTCCTATGGGATACGGTTCCTATGGAATATGGTTTTGATGAAATACGATTCCGATAATTCAATGCCGCGACGAATCACGTTTTTCATGAATCACTGTTGCAGAACAATGAGTAAATTCGCACAATGAATGAATTCACACTAGAAAATAGCATGAAACTCGACTTCCCCAACATTGATCTCATAGAAATTATTCCCCTCGTCCCCATGTTGAATTATACCCTCTTCCGGAAGACAATTGACCGGAATTGAAAATATCAAATTTGAATTTTAAAGAAATTGATACGATTCACGCCCATGAAACAAAACAAATCAACTAAGTGCATTTTTTCATCTACATTTTCTAGAACCAACGATAAATTTATACAAACCAAGACATTTTCTGAACCTGATTTCGTTATATAAACTTAAAATATGTTGCTTTATTCATTTTGCCAGGAATAAATTGAAAATATCAAATTTAGCTTTCAATGAAGTCAATACAGTCCATAATTATGGGACTAGACGATTGAATTACTTGATAGCAAATACATTCAAGTCAAACATTGGCAAACAATCTGTTTTTCACAATGGAATAATTTTATACAATTCATTACCGAATGAGTTAAAAAATATACATGATGCAAGAAGGTTTCAAATCAATCTTGAAAAATACTTGCTCAGGACAATTTGAAAGAAAAATATGTGGCATGATTTGATTACTTAGGAATGAAATATAACTTTAATCTTATAAGACACAATATTAATTCGTTTCCACTGAGTGGAATTCATTATAGTTAACCCTTTATTATTATTTTTTTATATGTATTTATGTATCCATATCATAAACAGAAATGTTTCTTGGGGTAATAAAGACAATCAATCAATCAATCAATTTATTGATAGCAAATAATTATGAGTCGAATTTTGGTAAACAATCAATATTCCATAATGGAATAATTTTATATAACTCCTTACCTAATGAGTTGAAAAATATAGAGGAAGCTGAAAAATGTAAAATCAATTTGAAGAAATATCTGCAGAGTAAACTTTAATTCCATATCTACTAATCATTCTGTGGTGCCTTTTATATGATGAGTAGAGTACTGGGGTGCATTTCATATAAGAAGAATGGTATACGTAAAAAGATACATAGCGGTGAGACTGTCAGACGGTAGGAGATGGAGGTCAAGAAAGTGGCGAGTTTGGCGAATTCAGGAGAATACTCCTGAAATTGATCACTTGATGTTAGAATCAATGGCCAGTGAAGCATTTGACGTAGTTGGAGTAGTTCCTGATACGAATACAGAACATACAAGATACGAACTGTGAGTTGGTGCTTATATTCAATTGACATTGCCCGTCACGGAATCCACGTTACCTATAAAGCAGTGCCCACATTCACCCTCTTTCATTAAATATTGTATATCAAGAATATTAGCGTCTTATTTCCTGAGAGAAAGAGGCTCATCAATTCACAATTTGATTACTTGAAATGGATTATAATATTTTCATTTTATATTTGATTATAATTTTTTTTTATGAAAAACAATAATTGTGCAATCATTATCGTTTTGATTTATTAATATGTTATATGTATGTTTTGTTGTATATTTCCCTTTTATAAACAATAATGTTTCTTGGGGTAATGAAGACAATCAATCAATCAATCAACATGGCGTCGGAGATGTCTGACCGCTCGTTCTCGACCAAGTGCGATAACAGCACGTTCTTGGCGATGGCCTTGGAGAGGGCGGACATCATCTGATTATGATAGAAAACCGTTCCGATGGAATACGGTTTTGATTAATTATTGTCGCTATGAAATACGATTCCAATATTTTTCGTATATAATGAATAACTGTTATGATCGAATACGTTTCCTATTGGAATTGAATACCCTGGAAAACCATGCTCAAATTTGATCAGATTAAATTTGAAGACGAAAGAAGCACGAAACCAAGCTTTCCCTACATCTATCACATAGAAATTATCCCCCTCGTCGTCCCAAAAGCACGTTCTTCGCTATGGCATTAGAGGACAGGGCGGACATCGTCTGATTCTGATAGGATACCGTTCCGATGGAATACGATTCTGATTTTTTTACTGTCGCTATGAAATACGATTACGATATTTTATGTTTCTGATGAATTACTGTTACGATCGAATACGTTTCCAATTGGAATTGGATACCTTGGAAAGCCATTCTCAAATTTGAACAATGATTGAATTCGAAGAAGAAAGAAGCACAAACCCCAACTTCCCCTACACGTATCACATAGAAACTGTCCCCCTCGTCGCCCTGTCGAATTATCGCCTCTCCCGGAATACAATCAGCCGGAAACATGGCGTCGAAGACGTCCGAACGCTCGTTCTCGTCCAAGTGCGAGAACAGCACGTTCTTCGCGATGGCCTTGGAGAGGGCGGACATCGTCTGATTATGATAGAACACCGTTCCGATGGAATACGGTTCTGATTGATTATTTTCGTTATGAAATACGATTCCGATATTTTTCGTTTTTGATGAATAATTGTTATGATCGAATACGTTTCCTATTGGAATTGACGACCCTGGGAAACCATGCTCAAATTTGATCAATGATTGAATTTGAAGACGAAAGAACCACAAACCCCAACTCCCCCTACATCTATCAGAAATTATCCCCTCATCGCCCTGTTGAATTATCGCCTCTCCCGGAAGACAATTCACCGGAAACATGGAGTCGAAGATGTCCGACGGCTCGTTCTCGTCCAAGTGATAGAACAACACGTTCTGCGGCCATCGTCTGATTCTGATAGGATACCGTTCCGGTGGAATACGGTTCTGATTAATTACTGTCGCTATGAAATACGGTTCCGATATTTTGCGTTTTCGATGAATTACTATTATGATCCAATATGTTTCCTATTGGAATCAGATAACTTGGAAAACCATGCTCAAATTTACAGTAGGAAAAAACACAAACCTCCACTTCCCCAACATCTATCACATAGAAATTATCCCCCTCGTCGCCCTGTTGAATTATCGCCTCTCCCGGAAGACAGTTGACCGGAAACATGGCGTCGAAGATATCGGACCGCTCGTTCTCGTCCAAGTGCGAGAACAGCACGTTCTTCGCGATGGCCTTGGAGAGGGCAGCCATCGTCTTGTAGTCCTTGGGCACGACCTTCTTCACGTAGCTGGTGGCATCCTCTTCGGAGACGGGCTCGGCGCTGATGCCGCCGCGACGCCTGGCGGGCGGCTGCGCATGCGCGGGCAGAGGGGAGAGGTCTTCGGCGTCTTCCGGGGAGGCGGCTTGCTGTTTGGCGTCTAAGGCTTGTTCCTAAGGGAAAGAAACAATCTTCAAATTATTATTTCCAGAAAGAGAAATGAGGAAGGAGTTTTTTTTGTATATATTTTTTTTATGTTCTGGTTCCCACGAAAAGGGATATCCTGTAATGTTCAGAAAACATCGTGAGAACCAAGGGAGGTTATATGTCTCGGCCTCGGCGAACACCTCCCTTGTCAATGTGTTCCAGAGCCTCGCTGTTCGTTGGATGAACGAGTCTTTGGAAACAGATGTTCTGCAGGGCTCCAAAGTGACCACAAAGGGGCGCAAGCACTAAGTTCGCAATTTTTTGATATCAAATCACAGAATCAGACTGACAGATATTTGATTACTTACTCCAAAAGAATAATAAAGATGCCTGGGGAGACCACTGATTTTTTAAAACGACATTATCGTGAACTCTATACTGAAAAACTACCAGTGAATTAATTTTGAATTTTTTCATTCATGCTAGGACGATGAAAAAAATAAATTAGAATATGTCCATTTCAAAACACATAATTCCTGTGCCATTTTAAATTATGTATATTGGTGTGACTGGTGCGACGTCTTAGTCCTAACACGCCTATTGTCCTTGAACTGACCAATCATACTGCAACACTGCAGAATGACGTGGTATCAGAGAGAGATAGCTACAGTTCGGGACTAATACGTCACGGTTCCACCATCATATTAGGCTTTTTGAAATATCGAATGAAATATGCTGATTTCAAAACGATATAGATTCGATTCCCTCTAACATCAACTCATAATATTGATTGTACATAAATCGTAAATCATGATTCGTCGATTGAAAGAGGTTTGCACGGATTTCTTTCCTCAGTGGTCTTCCCCATTCCTGTTAGAATCTCCAAATTCCACGTCGATAATTTTCTGAAATGATAATTTATAATACACGGGAAATATATCACATATAAGCTCACAACATCGAGCTAAAATCTACAACTTTTTTCACTTGTATAATAAATAAGTATTTTTTTGAAAAGTTTTAATTGGCGGCATAACTTCAAATAGAACGTAGCTAGAAGTCTAACAGATAATTCGCCGTCGCATTATTTCCCCATCACAGCAAGCGGACGGATTTTGTACGACTTCCTGGATAATTTCTATCGCGTTTCCAAGTGGAAATCCACATCGCACCTCGAAAGCAAAGGAACATCAATAGGAGGAAATTGTTGACTATGAAGGCTTCATCCTGTCGAATCAAATTATCCAGCATCCTACATATTTGACGGCTTGACGCTCTGATTAATGGCTCCTTTCATCCTGAGTGATATCCTGCATAATGAAATTCCGATATAATACGTTTGATGAATACGAGGCGCCGTTTGCAAGGATTCGTTTTGCCCAAACATCCGTACCGACGATCTGTTTTAGAATGTGCATGTGCATTGTGCAACGGGATATTTCCGAACGCGATACCAAGAGTTCTTCGAAACTTCTCGGAAACTTATCGTTATTATTTGTTATTTCCATGTCAGAAAAGTCGTTCGTTCGACAAATGTATGAGAACAAACAGAAATGTTGGTTCTTTAAAGTTTTTCGAAAACAGTTGACTGAGCTGAAATGAACAGGTTCAGAGATTTTGTTGTTGTTGATGTATGACAAATTGATATTCATCATAGAGGACTTGGAAAGAAATTCTGAATTGCGAAAACCTAATCACGAATCTGCGATTGATATGAAGAAATATATTGAGAATTCGCATTCTCTCTGATGATGTCAATAATTCAATGTTCGACGTGGCAAATAGCCAAGAAAGTAGTTGTTTTCTGTTGAATATTCAGAACGAATATTATGTGATAATATGGGACCTTTTTCAATTCAATTCCCAATTCCATTTCAATATTGAGTGAATCGTTCTAGAATAAACAGCCCGTTCCATAAATTTGATCGAAGGTCCGACAGAATTCAATTTTCCAAGGAAATGTTTATTTTTCTGGACTGAAACTCCGAAAGCCTGCTTCCCGAGGGAATGGAAAAATAATTAGGTATCCATTTGCCGCAATAGCGGTTTTCGTTGAGGTCTATATAAAATTCCCTATTGAATTATTTATTACAAGTTATAGTCAGCTGGTAAAGAATAAGTCAATGGAATACGATTAGTATAATGTAATTTACCAGATTATCTGAATAGGTCGCGATTATTTTTCCAGCATTTTCGAACATGATTCATTTATTGATCACGGCAATATGCTCACGTCTAACAAAAATTCTTTATGAAATTACATCTCGAAAATTGAACAAAAATTGGAAAAATAGTTAATTGTTTTACTGGGCAGAAAAAAACAAGATTCAATTATTACGCTGCTGGCATTTCATAAAGCCGAGGCGTAGCCGATCCATGCCAGGAAACTAGCCAAGGCATTGAATCTTCTTTTCTGCCATGTGAAACATATTTTTTCTCCGAATTCAAATTATTACCCTTTCAGCGTGTCAAGTGCCATTAAATAGTTATTTGTTTTACTAGGCAGAAAAGTAGAAGATTCAATGCCGCGGCTGGCGTTTCATAGCCTATATAGGCGTAGCCAAGGCATTACATGCATATCGTTTTCTGCGATGTGAAACATATATTTTTTTCTCCAAATTCTGTTCAATTTCACGAAAAGTCCAAATAATCCATCATTTTTTGTTCACCCAAAGTCATTGTCTATTCTGATTACCAATTTGATTCAAATTACTTGGAACGTTGCATAGCAACAAACTTTTTCTGTCTAGGCAGTAAAAGTACACCTTTTTTGCCTGTTAAGTGTCATTAAAAATACACTTTTAATGTCATTTGGAGGAAAAAGCAATTTTGTATGTCATTTGGAGAAAAAGAGTTATTTATACACCAAGGTACTAAAGAATATCATTATTATCCAGGTACCAAGATTATATCCAGAGCTTTCAGCCGAGGGGTATAAGGTCACGTGATGAACTCACCAATCACCATAGCTTCTTTTCATCGTTATTAATTACGACCTTGGCTTTTACATCTCATCGAAGACAAAGATGGTGGCCATTTTAGCTAAAACATACAGTTTTGCGTGCTCATAACGTTTATATACTTTTTATTCTCTGTTCTATACAATATTACGATGGTAATTCATGCCATAAATGTCCGCATAGCCGGTAAATTCAACCCTAACTCGTAACCCCCGTTACCCTCATTTATTATCAATTACAAACGTCCGTGAACGTCACAAAACTTTTATACTTTATACTTTCGTACGGACGGCGAGAATCGAGAAATTTCAATGGACTTTGTGAGAAAACATCAGCAGGAAGAAAACTGACACTTTCATTATTTTTCCTACTAATTACATGTCCATCAAATTTTAACAAATTAGTTTTGAGTGAACGTAACTCAATAAGTTTTTGTCAGTTTGGTTAGGATATTCTGGATTTATATCACCGATATAACCTACTTTCTAGACCGCTATATATGCCAAATCCCAACCAGAGAATCTCCCAAAAATTGCTGATCTGAAAACTGTCATTCAGCATGACCTCGACATAAACCACTTGATGTTCGGGAACATGCGCATGTTTCATGTAATCCAGTTAGATCTTCCAAATGGATGGTTTCTGTCTTATGGCACTGCATATCTAGATCACTATCATTACTATCTATACCCTTTCAACTTCAATTTCGGAATCGCTGAGTTATATTTCGGAAAAAGTAATCTCGATTTCAGAATTGGTTAGTTATTCGATTTCAGAAATGGTAAACTCAATTCCAGAATCGGTGAGATGAATTTCAGAAAAAGTCCATTCAATTTCAGAAATGGTAAGTTGTATTTCAGAATTATTATTGGTAGGTTCAATTTCAGAAGATGAAATCCTTTTATATGTTTGAAATGTTTTTAATTGCAAAACAGAAGACTGTTTACAGTGGATGGAACGGTGTTTCAGAGCCCTATGTTGAATCAGATTGAACATATATGGGGTGCCTTCAAGTCAGAAGTGAAGAGCTTCTTGCAAGAGCATCGCCAAAGGGTCATAGCTGGAGATCCGAACAGATTGCTCAACCAGATAGAATTCATCTCACCGATTCTGAAATTGAGTTTACCATTTCTGAAATCGAACTAACCAATTCTGAAATCGAGATTACTTTTTCCGAAATATAACTTATCCGAAATTGAAGTTGAAAAGGTATAGACCGCCATTTGTCATATCTGAGCAACCCGAAAATCGCATCCAAATTGCTCACTTGAATGAAATATTTCTGCTCAATGCGCAGCTTTTTTTATCAATCAAATTTATGATATTGAGTCATGTCTCTTAGTGTTCAGAAACATAAGTAAGAGTTAAGGTTTGAGAGTGAGTAATGAGAGGACCTGAATGCGCATGCTCCATTCACAAGTTCAATCTGATAGGGACATGTAAGCCGTTCTGATCGATAATGAATAGTTTCGACACAAAAAAATCTTAAAATTGAAAAATCTCGATTTTGATCACCCTATATCTCTGTAATCATTCCTGCTAGACCACAAGTGTCATACATTGATGAAATCAGCTCTTCAGGAAGAATCTAAAGATGCAAGAAAATACAGGGTGTTCCATTTGAAATGATAAAGTTGCTTGTTGTTTCTGATAGAAATGGCTACACTGTATCGATGAAAATATTTCAGACGGATAGAGAATGTACAATTATCAAAGTATCCCAATTTTCAGAATTTAAGTAAGTAAGTAAGTAAATGTTCTGTCTATTAGTTCTCCAAATACTTCTAATAGGCCATCCACCGTGGATCACCTTGTATATATTCAAGCAGGCGAAACTTCATTTATCCCACTGAATAATGCGTTCCAGATTGTTCTAGAACATTTGAGCTATTGTAGAATGCATTCCTGAACAACTAATATAACTCTGCGATGAAAGGATCACGATTGTTCGATATGGAATCGGAGGAAATGATCGAGAAGCATTAATAGAAGGGTATGGAAAATAATAAATAATAATAATAATAATAATAATAATAATAATAAATACGTTTATTATATACCCAAAA